GCAGCTCTCATAACGACGCCTTGTTTTACTAAATATTGTTTCATATATTGTTTCACTGTGTCACAGGGTAGATATTTTGGTCTTACAATTCCCAGCTGTTTCTTACAGATCCCACATTCCCACATATCACCACTGCCTGATGCAAACCTCTTAACTCCAACAGGGATGAATTGTAACATTACATGACCCGCGTGGCCTGGGAAAGTTCACCGACCTCCTGGGTTTATGAAACCCTCACAAAAGCACCAACTGTTCTCAAAAATGTCTCGTCTTCATGATGTAAACAATGTCATTTTTCTTACTTCCTCAAAAGCTGACATTTTGGAGATACACGGTTTGCATCTGAAAGTGACTATGATGGAAAGAGTCCACAGAGCTGTGAAATCCTGAGTTCTCTGCTTAACAGACAGCTGCTTTTGTCTCATACCTGAGTATCTCTGTCTGTGAAGCTATCGTCTTTTTTATTATGTAGAAGCTCCATTTATTGTCCTTGGCTTCAACCATAATGATTAATGATGCTTAGTATGGTGGTGCACTATTGTAAACTCACCCAAGCTCAAAAGACAGGTTCTTTAGGGTTTTTGTGTCCTCGCAGCCAGACATTTCAACTTTAGATTGTACCATCAGGTGTGTTACTTATCCTGTTCAGAGTTTAGTGAAAGTGGAACACCTGTGTTCACGCTGGACCAGTGGGTTGAGTTTCAAAGAAGAAAACAGGTTTTCCGGCGAGAGTTGATGAAAGCTTTTCATCCACGATCCTTGATGAGAGACTGTGGGGATTATGTAAACAGGCAACAAAGAGGAATACAGTATGTCAGTAATCTCTCATTCTGCAGCTTTGTTGGCCATGAGTTGGCGCATTGTTGTTGAGCGGAGGCTGCTTTGAAAGCTGCCTGTTTTTAAGCGCAGGCTTTAATCTAAAATATGAATTCAAATTTTCGGTTGATACTGCGCTGTGACACGTAAAGGAGCACACCATTTTGAAATTGTACCTTGTATAAGACGTGCATTCATAAAAAATGCATTTAGTGCTTTGCTGGATCTGAGAGCTGTATACTGTATGCATGTTTTAAATGCCTCAGTTGTGAAAGCTTGATGAATGTATCTGTTGCCCACCTGCTGCTGGACTGTGCTGACACAAATCCAAACTGGAATGGTCTTTTTTTTAACCGAAACTCTTCATGAATGAACTGTTGCCAGTAAACAGTATGAAATTCAGCAGGCTTCCTTGTCACAACAGCGTCCGAAACCGGCTTTGCGATCACTGTTTGTTAGCTTTGTGGGAGTATGAGTGAGATATTATACTAACATAGTAGTGCACAGTATGATCATAATGTACGTGCAGGGGGATGATGGGATTTTAGATCCATATCTCTGGCTCAAATACTACTTTCAGGGGTTTAGAGATGTCTGTCTTTCAAACCCACTTGTGGGGTTGTTGGAGCTAAAAATCTCGCAAATTTAAGTGTGCTTCTATGAATTATGGCTGATCACGTGATGTTTGTAGGAAAGAGGAGTGTGAAATGGGCTTACACAGCCTGTTGTTGAGTTTCCATTGCATACATGGCTGTCAGCAACTAGCCATTAAAGGATGGGTTCGGATGTGTTTTAGGTGTTTGTAGCACAGTAGTAATATGGCATTTTTATAATATGCAATGTATACAAGTTGAGTATTGGGATAATTTCACCTCTGCAGACTGGCTCTGACCCACAAAGAAGTATTAAGCTTGTTTGAGTTCAAATATTAAATCAAGAAGAATCTGCTTTCCAAAGTTATGGTCTATTTATCATGATATTCTCTATATTTGTTTCCATAGCCACTGCTGGCAATAACATGTAGGTTTGTTCATGTGATAAATTGTGGGATTAGAGCTAATGTTTCCCTGCCAAACAAAAAAAAAGATACCCATTTGATTTGTCTAACTCAGCTCCCTTTGTGACTGAAATGACACATATAAACTAACGCTCACGTTTGCACAAGGGTTTCATTATCTACTGCCCATCTGTGTGTTGCTATTCTTTGGTCTGCAACTGACCGAAAGGAAACTTTTTTTTGTAAATTAAATTTCATGCACTGTTGCTATGTCACATGATTATAATGTAGAACACAGTGTAGGTACAATAATGCAGTCATGACCTTTCTTGCACAATTGTTCATTTGTTTATTTTATTAGCAAATCCTGTTGTTTGCAGCCTGTTTGCCAATACAAGTAAGAATATTACACATAATATTAAAACAAAATTCACATAGAAACATCTGCAATCACCTTTTGGCACAAAACCTGCAATAAAATCGTTGGTGACAGGAAGTGGGCGGGTCCTGAGATGAACTCACTTTTGAGGCAAGCGATTGAAGTGATAACCAATGAGAGCGCAGGATAACATACCGGTGACTAACATATGACAGGAAAGTAAATCTATTAGGGGTTATCTAGACTAGCGATCAGAGGTCAACTTCAAAGCAATTCATAGAGCAAATTACTTCCTGTGTGTATGCAGCTTAAAAAAAATTAGTTTACAATAGAACACTGAGTGTAAGATTTTATTGATGAGTCAATTATAACACATTTTTTCTCTGTATAGTGTCACTTTCAGGGCAAATTGTTTTTTAAACAAACAAACAAAAAATAGTTTTAAAGCAGGATTTTGTAAAAATTAATAATAATAACAATAATAATAATAATTGTTATTAATCCATTAATTATTAATTAATAATTAATAAAACAAATCCCAGATAATCTAAAAATTAAACATACTATATGTAAAGAACAAGATCTACACAAACTTCTTCAGAACAACATAACACATAAATGTAGCAGTTAATGGATTTAAGTGTCTCTCTCTAACCAAATTGCAGCCATTTCCGCTTCGCTGTGAGTTTGGAGAAATTCACCTTTATTTCAGGTCACAGTTTTAACAAAGCTTACAGGCTGGTAGTTCCAGTCAATCTAATTTGAATGCCACTGAGAGGAAGGGCTCTGCATAGCTGCACTTGTGTCATTATAAAACTGGACGGACATATTTAAATACCTCATTGTAAAATTTCTCCACAAGTCTGCCACTTGGCTGCTTCTTCACCAAATCATTTCTGGCACTCATCCCAAGATGCTGACTATTTATACTTGTACAGATGCCAGTTTCCCAGAACAACAGTTAACATTTGGAGAATAAAACTGGTCTGACATGATGTAGAGTCATGCTTGAAGTCTGATTTCAATTGTTCAAATATAGGTTTGAACTTACACATTCTGTCCAAGAGTCAACGCAAATTCTTCGATGTGTTTACTCGAGTTAATTGATTAGTAAGAATGACTGTGTGGTGATGTTTACAAATTGTAATTTAGCATGTAATTAGTAATGTAATCCACAAAGCAAAATCTGGCACATACTCATTCATCTCTGCACAAAAAGAGGATTTGTTGAATGCATACAGTATTTTCTTTTCCAACAAAGCTTTGCTCTGGCTAAAGTCTCATAATCGAGAAAACATCTGAAAAAACAGCCTTTATTTGTTTTGTCTCACTAAGCTTCGATCAACTGAAAAGGCTTTATCTCGAAAACCCTCTTCAAAGTGTATATTTTGTAAAATTGTATGCAGAAGTTGGAAAATAGACAGATTAAAGCTCAACATATGTGATCACAGAGAAACTTGGAAGTAAGACACCAGCCACACACACACACACACACACACACCTGCCAAAAATAAATCTTTTCAGTGTTTGCATTCTTGTGAGGATTGCTGATCTCAAGACAAGCTGGGAAATATGTTCCCCACAAGGACACGAGAATTAACAGCATTTCGTGATTCGACAGTCACCTTGAGCCAGCTTAGATCGAAGTACACGCAGGTTTCTGTGAAGCCAAACAAGAAAGCTTGTAGCTAAAGTGCTAAACAGAGATCACATTTGCTTAAATGTGAATTCGGCACACACGTGGCTCTCAAAGGCATGCACTAGTTGAAGGCCATTGGGTTTAAAATACCTCTGGAACAAGCCAGCCACAACTGTCTCCATGTTGTGTATATTGTGAGGGAACTTGTTAGCGCTGTATCCAAAACAAGGGCAGGGGTGGAGAGCAACCAGATGTGGCCACTGGCAGACGGTTCATGAGGAGATCCTCCAAGCTTGGACAGTGCACACTGCATGACATCAGTACCAGATGGTTTGTTCATTAACACCCACCCTCTCAAAACATACAGAGAAGCCTGTGCTGAAGGTCCAAAAGTCTAAATGGCACTTGAACGGCTATTTGGTGCATTTTTTCATGACATTTTGGGTGGTGGCAGTTAAACCTAATTAGTCAATAGAACCACTTTGTTCAGATTTAACTCTTTGGTTCAAAGTTAAGTCTTTTTGAAACACAGCTGTGCAGAATGTTTTCACTGTATACTTTGCATCGATTTGGAATTTGAATAGGAGATTATTCATAATCACAGCCAACGAATCCAGTAAAACCATCCAGTTTCTTTATTGTGCAACTGCGTAAGATTAAATAAAAACGCTATTAAATCAAATCTTTCAGCTACTTCTGTTAGAGCTCTCTTTCAGTTTGCTTTTAACTCAAATGAACAGAGTGAAATGCAGGAGAGGGGGAGGCCGCAATAGCACTTGGCACACTTGTCTGCTCCACTTCAGCGTGATCCATGTGTTGCGATGCCTGCAGTGTCCTGGTTTGGCCCTCTATATCAAATGACCAACAGTGAAGTAGGTATTTACAGCACATGCTGTAGTTTCACAGCTCCAATACAGCAGAGAGAGAGAAAGAGAGAGAGGAAAAAGCTGTCAAAAGAATACAAGTACAAAAATATAAGCATGGTGCAGATTTTTCAGTTTTTGGTACATCCCCATAAATCAAATCTCTCTCCTTCGGTTGCTTTTTTATTATCCATCTTGTTTTGGACCATTAACGGCCAACACAATCATTTCTGTCGGCATACTGGCCTCAACTATCTGGCACTTTTACTATAAAAGGATGTGAAATGAAATAAGCAAGCAAAAATGTCTGTTTCAGCAGTAAAGCAAATATGTTTATTAAGCACTTTAATATACATCAGAAAATTCCACTTCATAGAATACAGGAATTCTTTTTAAATGAAAGTTGAATGTACATGGTAAGCTATTTACAATCCAATCACTGACAGTCAAATCAAAGATGGCAGACAAAACACAGTCAAGACAAACAAGATAACTGCTTAATAAGACTATACAGTATGTTTTTCCAACACTGTTTCTAAACCCGGTCCTGCTTAGAATCCTTCTACCGTCCCTTCATGGCATACGTTTGAGCTACTGTAGTACTGAAGAGCTGAGAGCTTTCACTAGGGCTTATAAGTGTTCGTGCATGCGATACGCTTCTACTCCTCGATCCCAGTTCTTGGCAATATATATCTCACCGTTAACATTATGAAAAGCCTGCAAAAATATGACACAGCCTGTAAACACTAACGCAGCTCCATAGAATTCATAAGAAACAGATGTTTCAGTTCCCTCAGCTGAGCACCTCCTCCCCTCAAGTTGTGTCCAACTGATCCTCAGTGTCTCACAGGGAGGAGGCGGGTTAGAATATACCCATTCAACTTTGGCTTTACAACTTTGCATTACAGACAATGTCACTAACAGCTAGTAGTTGTCTTAATGGCTGAAGCCTTTCTGAGTGTGTGTCATGCCCCTGAAAAATCCAGCCAGGAATTAACTGAAAATGAACCACATGACGATACGGAAACAAAGCTTGGATTTTGTTTCTTGCGATGCAGTAGGTTATACATGTAACTGTGCTGACAAATGTATTTTTAATCACTTGACATTGCTGCTTTTAGCACCAAAATGGATTATTTAAATATTTTTTTTAATGCACACAAAACAGGACTCACAACAACAACAACAAAAACAAAACAAAAAAAATCCCATAGGGACAAAATTATTATTTTTTTGTTTACATTTTCGATGAACCTCCCTCTTTCTTAGATATTTTAATAATGCACAAACTTACATAGCCAACAAATTGGGAGTTCAAAATGACTGCAGGCAACGTCTGAAAACACAGCACCATGATAGGATGTAATGCAAAACCAAAAAGTGGCTTTTTTTCCCCCAAAATAAATACACTTTTATATACTTGTGATGAAAATAGCTATTGACATATCACACACAAAGTAAGTTTAACACGCTGCTCAAAGTTAACACAGATTATTTGGGGTCTCTAGAAAGGCAGACTATCAATGCGCTTACTTCATACCATGGCATCAGTTACTGTTATGTCCTCTGGTTTGTTACATTGTACTCGCAAGTACATTGTTGTCAGTGTTTAAAAAGTAGAACAAACATTAATATAAAATAACAGGAAAAAGCATTGGTACGTTTTCTCAAACAGTTACTTAGATAAAACATGGATGGGATACGAGTGACTAGAACAAATGCATGTCTGTCATTTTACTCTTAAAAGTGCATACACTGTTTATTAAATAGCATTACATTAAATTAAGATGATAGTTTGCATGGATACATGGAGAAGGCTGTAACAGATGTAGGCACATTGAAGTATCAGTTCACATAAGCCTTAGGCAGAAAACAATCTTCCCTAGGTAACATTTTGAGGTCTCCCACTGATGAAAAGTTAAAAAAAAAAGTGTTTTTTTTTATTTTTAAAATGCAGATGAAAACAGTTGCTTTGGCACATTCTCTCCGCCGTCTGCATGACGAATGGCATTCAAGACATCTGAAATGGCACAGGAATGATTTGGGTTAATGTTTTGCTTGGGAGGCTTTCTTCATGCAAGTCTGATTAAATCCAACTAATGGTGGTTCTATTCAGTACATTCCAGTATCATCTATGTGCCCATTTTTTGCTCCTTTATTAGTCCTTAGACAAGCCAAAAGCATGTGTTGTTTGCTATGTGCCCTCGCCTTTTCTTGATTTCAACATATAAACACATGGTTGCTGTATTACATTAAAATCACATGCTGGAATATTAAAAAAAACAAAAACAAACAAACTCTCTCTTACCAGCTATAATGGAGTCTCCTTTTTGTAGTTAAACCCATGGTCTGATCCTTCAATCTGCAGTTTCAGGGCTTGTTTAAGGCTTAGCTCCGTTTCCCCTATGGGATAGTTCTCTAGAACATCCTGGTGGCCCCTGTTTTGAACAGTCCGTGGAACTGATACCCTACCCAAGAAAACCTGATTACCCTGTAGATGATAGTTGGGGTTTGTCATTATCCCATTCCTCTTCTTCTCAGAACAGCTTTGCTGCTGTATGAAAAACTGATCCTGGCACTGTCCCCTTTCCTGCTGAACCGAACCACCAATCATGATCTTACAATGAGGATCTTTCACTGCAATGTTAGCTACCGATTTATTAATGGCAATTCTCTTGTCAAACTGGGTCATCTCATACTCCAGAACCTGACCTTGGGTTGAGCCACTGTTCTTGATTTTCTTCTTGTCTCCCAGTGTTGCTTTGCTGTTTGCTGTGCTATTTCCAGTTTTAGTTCCCTTTGTTGATTTAAGACCGGATTTCAGCTGAGACCAGTCAAAGTCACTGGATGGAGATGATGGCTGCTGACTAATGGACTTTGTCGTAGAGGACGGAGATACAATAGACTGTCTGCTCCGGCTGCGGGGCAGTGAGTGCTGCTGAATCTGTTCTGTAAATGTCAGTCCGTGAAAACTGTCAATGGGCACTGTCTGTGCTGTGGCTGTAGATGACGTGGTTCTCAAAGAGGAGTTTTTTGAACTCTTGAGAGAATTATTTGACAGGGAGGATTTCTGTCTATCTACAGTGGAATCAGGAGACTCTGACGGTGAACTGAAGGCATGAACAGGCCCGTTCTGTAGACCTCGTCCAGATGACTGCACGTCTCCTGCCCCAGTGCTGCCAGAACTACTTGATTTGATGGTGAGGGACTGCATTTTACCAGTCACTGCCAATGGTGTTTTTTCTTCCATGGTATGCACTGGGGAGGGGTTGCAGCCATTTAGAGTTGTAGCTCCATATTTTTCTAGAAGTTTTATAATCATTGAATGGCCACCTTTTGCTGCTACTCTCATTGCCGTTCTTCCAAACTGATCAGCGTGGTTGGGGTCAGCACCGTTTTCAAGAAGTATTTGTACAACATCGATGTGACCCTCCTGGGCAGCTATGCCTAGTGCCGTTGCTCCCTGATTGCATGTGTGATCTACATGTGTGCCATTCTCTATCAAAAACTGCACGACTTTTGTATGGCCTTGCCATGCAGCAGACTGGAGGGCAGATCTTTTTTCATTGTCACAGGCATTCACATCAGCATGGTAGTTAATCAGCAGCCTCACCATTTCAATATGCCCTTGCCAGCAGGATACATGCAGGGCCGTTCTGCCCTCAGTGTCACAAGCTTCCACATTTGCGCCATTTTCAAGGAAATATTCTGTCATGGCCAGCTGATTTTCAAGTGCTAGTATGTAAAGCGTCGGGCGTCCGTCTGCATCTTTGCAATCTATATCAGCACCGTGGCTCAGCAGCAGTTCAACAATCTCCCTGTGACCTTCTAATGCAGCTACCCTGAGAGCATTCCTCCCATCATATCCCCTCTGGTCACTGCATGACTTGTGTTCCAGAAGAATTTGCACACAGTCATAATGTCCCTCTTGTGCAGCTAATATCAGCGGTATTCGACCATCATTATCTACCTCTGTGCAACGAGCACCTTGTTCAATAAGGGCATCGCAAACTTGCCGGTGGCCCTCAAATGAAGCCATGTGTAGCGGGGTCCAGCCTGCATCATCCCTGTGATTCTCATCAAGACCTCTGTCCAGCAGAGTTCTGACCACCTCCACATTACCCTGAGCAGATGCAATGCTCAGCACAGTCCTTCCCTCACTGTCAATACTATCAACAGCGGCCCCCCAAAAAAGTAGTGTGTTGACTACAGATGCATGGCCCATTGATGCAGCAGCCAGAAGAGGGGTGCGGCCATTGTTGTCTGTATGATCCACATCAGCCCCGCCTTCTAAAAGCAAGTCAACTACATCTACATGTCCTTCATAGCCAGCCACGAGGAGAGGAGTCATGCAGTCTTTGTCACAGTGGTCGACCTCTGCACCCCTGTCGATCAAAAGGCTCACAACAGATGCATGGCCTTTACTTGCAGGAACACAGAGAGCAGCGACTGAAAGGGCAGTCCTTCCATCAACGTCTTCATGATTAACTTCGGCTCCATGGTCCAACAGGTGCTCGACAATTTCTCTGTGTCCCATATAGGCTGCAGCAATAAGAGCCGTTCTTCCTTCATTGTCTGCTTTGTTGACCTCAGCGCCATGTTGAAGAAGGTTCAACACAATGTCTTCATGACCTCCCCAAGCAGCAGCTCTTAAAGCAGTTCTGCCATCGGCATCAGCACAGTCCACTTTGGCACCAGCATAAAGCAGAGCAGACACAACTTCTGAATGTCCACCCCATGCTGCTGAACGGAGAGCAGTCCACCCATCGTGATCTGTATGGTTTATGTTGGCCTCACAGCCAATAAGGCAGTTGACCACTTTAGTATGGCCCTGCCTTGCAGCGAGGGTAAGTGCCGTCTGTCCATTGTTATCTTCTAGCTCCATGTTTGCCCCTCTAGATATAAGCAAGTTGACAACATCAAGGTTTCCACTGTATGCAGCATTACTCAGCAGAGTTTTCCCACTGGAGTCACACTGGTTTACAGATGCCCCATTGTCAAGTAGTGTCCTTATCGAATCCTCTCTTTCTAGGGCTTGTTGTACAATACATGAAGCATGATCATCCTCATTGTTTACGTGTGCACCAGCTTTGACCAGTAGCTGCAGGACCTCCTGTTCCCTTGGTATGGAGGTGCTCAAAGAGTCTTTAGCAGGAGTTCCATTCCAAACCATCCAAAGAGCCAGATTAAATGCTTCAATCTGTAGATTGGAGTTCACAAGATGCAATGCAAATTCCTGCACCTCAAGCGGGTTGAGCTGCTTTGCCCGGCAAGTATAACTCATTGCCAACATCCTATGTCCCTCTGCTGCATTGCACAAGTACTTTTGGGTGCAGTGCTTAACATCTAGTAGCCACTCTGCAAAACTGTAGTGAAAGAGGATTTTAGTGCTCCCAAGGCCATCGACCAATAATTTGGAGAGAATGTCCATCTTTTTCTGAAACTCTTCCATGGTCAGTGTCATGTTTTTGGTCCAGACTGCATGGTACAGTTCTTTGACTGTGAGTGGCCTACAAGTTGCAAGGATTACATTAAGAATTGGTTGTACTTTGGCAAACTGTTTTCTGACAAACAGTCTCTGGCAGAGCCACAGGTAGAGGCCATTAAGAGTGCCCGGGATGTCGCGGATCTCACGAAGCATGATAAAGTTTTCCACCACACCATCCAGGACACGTTCCAGGTAAAGGAAACAACCACTGCTCTTGATGTGAAGTTGGTTAAGCATCTCAGCTGTCTCCTTGGTTAGATGCTGCCTCAGGGCCTCCTCCTGATCCAGCCTGTGAAGGATGTACTGTTGCACGTCCTTGACGATGTAGGCCTTACGCAGATCATCAAGGCTGATTTTGCGGAATCCTGAAACAGAAGGGAAGGACATAAGATGAGACTGATGGCAAATTGAGCTAATAACTTACTCAGTATATTAAAAGATCCAAAAGATTAATTCAAGAATGACCTTTGCTGCATTATTTGCTAATGATGAGTAGAGTTACTCTCCCCACACTGGTCATGTCTGACCTTGAGATCCTGCCCTGTACTTAGTCACTGATCATGTACCTTTGGATAATTAGGTTAAGCCAATCTTATTTCCCAAGGTTCTTAAGATAATTAATAGTAAAGCCAGGTTGTTAAAGAAAATCCTTTCAGAGGAATTGAGAGCATAACCCCTCTAACTGCTGGAAACGGAGACAATGAGTGGGTGTCCACTCTCAGCTTAGCCCATGAAATACCAACAAAAACTAAATCATGTCAATTAGTGGCTTTAGTGTATTGGCTAAAACAGCTATTTCAGCTTAGAGAGTGCCAGCATTAGGGAAAAATGTATAATAATTTAAGTATAAACATGGCTGAAACAATGAATACAGCGTAATAATAACAATAATTAAAAAAAACAAGCTAGAACGCCTTGAAGTAACAATGCAGATAACCATTTAAGAAACAAATCTCACACCCTGAGAGAAAACATAATTTATTTCAACACTGGAATCCACTACATTGGTGATTCAGCCCATTCATTAATTGCAGAGACTAATCAGCTAAAGCATATCTGCTGTGAAATGGAAGAGAGCAAGGGACACATTATTTGCATGACTGTAACACATCAATGGTCTGTAAAACATTTCTCCAATGCCTTACTTATCATGCAACATGCTCCCACATTGACCTTTAGAAATCCTACTGGGGGGGAAAATAATCACAGTGGGTCTTAATGAATGATCTTTAATGGGAAATCCTCTCTGACATGTGGAAAAATGGCTCCATAATGGCCTCTGCTAATGGGCATAAAGTGAACTTTCCTTCATGCTTAAACAATCTGTTCATGGTCTGTGTAGTCTGCAGCCTTGAGGGCAATAGGAGCATTTTTGCATACTTTTATTTACAGTTCCCATGCTTCTCAGGGTTACTAGGACAGGAAAAAAAAGTCACCAGAGTCTCACTCAGTGTTGTTGACATACTGTTTTTTTCCCCCAACATCTAACAAGCCTCCTACTATGGGAACAACTATCTGGCACTTTTGCTCCCTAAACTGATGTGCTTCTTTGCCAGCCTGAGCATCAATTCATTAAAATAAAGATATTTTACCTTCAGATAAAACAGCTTAAAAGAAGAGAACATTTAGAAAGGTTTACTAACAAGTTCAAAACTTTTATTCTCCATAGTGAAATGTGATTGCCTTGGTTATATAACATCTCTCCCCAGTACGAATCAGATTCTGTCACCAGGCCTGGAGCAGTCCTCTCTTCATCCGACTGCTATTGTGTGGGTAGAAAAGACAGTGAAATCTTATTCCACATAGGCCCAACGGTAACCACACACTTCCAGGCCAAATAGCAAACCTAATGACTTTAACAAGAATTCCCAAGCAGGCACTGACAGTTTGGACAACAGATCCTGGTAAACAGAAGGAGCAACAGGTTCCCTTTATCGCTGGCTTCTGTGTTTGTTTAAGATAAGCAGATTCCTTCAAACAGTATCTCACAATAATTCCCTTTTACTCTGTCCTTGAGGCCCTTCGTCACATTTCAGCCTGCGAAAAATTGGTTACTTGGTGAAATTAAAGCACTCACGCTTCGGATAATGGTTACACTTTATTGTAAGGTCTTTACTGTACAACCTAAAGCCCACTGAGAAGAATGTTTTAATCAGTACTGTATAAATAAAACTGAATGAAAGAATTTAATCTGTGATACAAGACAAATATTTACTTTGTATTTACTTTTTAAAAGGCACTACTTAAGTGTCATGAAACATCTTATGACTGAGATGCTAAGGAGTGAACAGTTACTGGGATTAAGACAGGACAGGATGAAATAGGATTCATGTAAGATTTCACCCAGAGATCTATTATACAAAATCACGTTCTATTGCTCTTTACATTTGTCTGTATCGTTTTATTTCTTTAGTGATGTGGTGGCCTGTGGTAGATCTAAATGAAAAAGAGGAAACTAAGAATGTTTCTTAACTACAACAAAAAATATATATATCTAAGAGACTCAACAGCCAATCACAGTCCGTGCACTCCCCACATCTGTCTGCATACAGCATTATGTAGTATTAAGTCTACAATCTGGGACAGAATGAAAACCTGAGTAAGGAATAAACCAAACTCCCATATAAAAAAATAATAAATATTATGAAAATATTAAATATGAACATGTAAACACAGGTTTATGTATGGGACGGTTATGGGAATTCTTTACACTTTAACAAGCTTTAAAGTAATATTCCCCATCATTATAGCCACTGAAAAGCCCTAACCCACTTCTAGTATGCCACTGTTTTCAGTAACTGTGCACATTTTCCACACTCCCTTCAGCCTCTTCTCTCCAGCTCCATGACCTCCCGTATCAACTCCCACTACTTCAGTCCTGGAGGAGTCACTGACATTACAAGAGCCAAATTCATGGCAAGCATGTGATGTAGCCATGTAAAAATCACTTCTGTTTCTGAGTACTTAGAGCAGTTGTGATGTCTTTATTTCATTCTTTGTTTACAAACCTTGGCTAAGTACCCATTTAAAAAGCATCCAGCAAAAAGCCCTTTGTTATCATGACTCTGGGGTTACTTCAGGGTTTATATCAAAAAGATACAGACTTGACTGAAGGCACCACCCGATCCTAATTCACATTCCTGGTCTCTCTGTGTGCTCACAACTCCCCTGGCTGAAACTTCAAGCAGTAAAGATCAAATTTCAGCCCATCATGTTATCATCAGAGGATCTCTCACTCATCCTTATATCTCATTTTGTCTAGTCTCTTGTTTCATGTCAGGTGTCCAGTGTGTCGGGAGTTTGTTTTCTTTTTCCTTTTTCCCCTCAGCTTGAAAGCTAATCTAACTGGTGTACATGCTTCCTTTCTCTTCTACTGTTCTGCTTTGCAGGCCAGTGCACAATCACAAGTGCTCCACTTGACACAAGCACACAGTTTCAAATTTACATTTACAGTGTCTCTGTCTCTCTCGCTAACGACAGAGAGCTTATGTCTGGTGCGACTTTCTGATGCTCGGATGTCAGTGATGGGTCCTCCTACTTCTTCTGGACCAAATCCTTCTTTGGGCATTCTGGGTTTGCTCCAGCTGGAACAGGAAACCCACTAGCTTGGAAGGGGGAAAGAGGCCATGAAAGGGAAAAATAAGGACAAAAAAGGCTTCACGCTTTAAGAGACCATAAAATGCATTTGTTTTTTTTATGTTATACATATATATAATTTTTTTTCCTCCCCTCCACCCAGCCACTGATTTTAACAAAGTATGACAACTCATATTTTGTCATGTGATGATTTCTTCTATTCACAGTGGGACTAAGAAAAACATTCAGTATGCATTACAGCCCAATTCTGGAGATGCTGCTCGATCGTGAATATTTTCTCTGGGGAACAGAAGAAAAATGCTTCTGTGCCGTAGTTTATGATAAACTGTTTCTTCTACATTCCACGGTCGCCGACACACCAATTATGAAGACAGTGAATAGGAAAGCTGGAGGAGAGAAGAGATGGAAATTTGACTGCAGCCACCATGAAATAAAGCACTTGCTCAGATAAGACAAAAAAAACCCTACAACAAGAAATAAAACAATAGACCTACTTAAGTGCCTTTGCTCACCAAAATTACATCTCCCTTCAGTCACATACTGAAAGATAGCCTACAGTTTCCACTTAAGTCATCAGCAGACATCACTTCACTGGATATCAACTGTGAAGTCATGGCAATATTATTGCCCTACTCCTGCCGATAAAGCAATAAAACAACCGCAGGGGGAATGTCATCCAACCTGCATTTGATGACTGCGGTGTAACAGGAACTACTATTAAGTACTACACAAGAATGCATGAACTCTCATTGGCTACAAATACCCAGACGCCTTCCAAGAACCATTTTCTTTCTTTCCAAAACCCAGCAGTCATGAAGGCCTAGATTTTGCACCATTTTAAGTAGGTTACACAAACTGTAGCTGAGCATTGTGTGTTCACTCTATTTGTGTGTGTGTGTGTGTGGATGGTTCAGACCCAGAACAAAAGCGACTGCTAAACAAGCAACAAATGACACATTCATCAGGGTGAGGGATGCAGCTCCTGAGTGCAGGCCTCTGAGCCAGCTGCTGCTCGTTACAGAGCTGGATACCAGCCACAAGAGACAGGGTCTCGCGTACAAAAGAGTGACTGTTTGCTTTCTAGATTAATTTTTCAAATGACGAATGAGCCGGCGTGTGTGCACGCATGTCTGTCAAAAAAACTTGAGGTCTAAGCTCATCAACTGGGACTGTGGAATGGCAGCTTCTCAGATTCAGCACGATCTTCCGCGAGACACCATCTTAAGTCACTGGATCCATAAAGAAAACAGAAACCCAAGCCTCACTGCCCTCTCCTCAGGCTCTCCAGTAAACCCGCGCTCAACCAAACGTCTGTTCGACAGCTGCAGCGTTCCCAGCTCCAAAAATCACGAGAGAGCCAACCTCCTAAACACAAGTATGTGGAAGAGAGTGAGCTCCAACGGTCTGCAAACTCAAGTCCTGTGCAAGTGTGCTACTCTTCACTCTTTGAAAAATACTGCTGGATTCTTTGTTTGATTGTTTACAGACTCCAATTTGGAGTTTAACAGTCAAAAGGCAACAACTCTTTCGGTTTTATTTTGGATAAATGTGGCTTATACACAAGTGAGAACAGACTGAGGAGCTGAGATCTGAGAGGTTTCGGCTCAAATCTGGAGCCGATTTAACAGCGCAAAGATGCAAACAGTTGCCATGCTACGCGACCACCAGGCGAGACGCAGAAATGATTACACTTAACAATTAATTTAGGTTTGCTTGAGGCGAGGCACATGAAAACACTCCCGCCCAAACATGCCTCTGCTGACTTTCA